ACAAGCTACCTCTGATGACTGCTTTCACTATGTCCCATAGGTTTTGGCCCATTGTATTCTCATTCTCATTAGCTTCTAGAAACTTTCTGATCTCCTCTCTAATCTGGGTCACTACCCACTCATATCTCAGAAGAGCATTATTTATCCTACATTTTTTTTGCCTTTGTTTTTCTGGTCGTCTTTTTATTGATTTCCAGTTTTATGGCATGGTGATCTGAGAAGGACATCTGTGTAATCTCTATGTGTTTGAATTTACGTAGGCTCAACTTGTGTCCAAGCACGTGGTCTATTTTCGAAAATGAGCCATGCATGCTTGAGAAGAATGTGATATTTTTTACATTTGGTTGGAAAGTTCTAAATATGTCTATCAGATCTAGTTGCCTAATTGTAGTGTTTAGCTCTATAGTCTCTTTGCTGAGTTTCTTTCCCAATGATCTATCTTTCTCTGAAAGCAGTGTATTAAAGTCAACTACTATAATTGTTGAATCTGTGATATCTTTTTTCATGTTTTGAATAGTCTATTTGACATATTTCATGGGTCTCTGATTTGGTGCATATATATTTATTATGCTCACCAGTTACTGGTAAAGTGATCTTTTGAGCACTATATAGTGCCCCACCTTATCTTCTTTTATGGTTTTAACCTTGCGATCAATTTTGCCTGAGATTAGGATTGCGACTCCTGCTTTTTTTTTTTTTTGAGTTCCCGTTAGCCTGGTATATCTTCCGCCAGCCTTTTATTCTTAGTTTATTCTTGTCTGCGAGCTTAAGATGTGTTTCCCGCAGGCAACAGATTGATGGGTTATGTTTTCTAAGCTAGTCTGCAAGCTTTTTTATTTTAGTGTAGGAGCTAAGGCCATTGACGTTTAGAGTTATTATCATGATCTGTGGATTCATTGCTGACATCTCATGCCTTTTGTTTTGGGTGTTTTCCTATCACCCTTCTTATCACTGTGCTGTATCTTTGTGGAGAGCTACTGTATTGCCTTCTTTTCCCTCTGAGGCCATGTTATCTTGGTTATTGTTATCACCTCGTTGGCTTCTGGTTGGAGTTGGGCTACATGGTGTTCTCCTGTTTGTGCTTGGTGGATGTTGGTCTTCTGGCCATAGTGAATCGACAAGGATCTCCCACAGGGTTTGGTGTCTTTCAGTGTGTTCCTTAAGTTTTTCCTTGTCCTGGAAAACCCTTATCTCTCCTTCTGTCTTAATAGATAATTCGGCAGGGTAAAGGATTCTTGGGGTGGTGTTTTCTCTTTCAGCTTTAGGAAGTTGTTACTCCACTTTCTCCTCCACTTCATGGTTTTTGTTGATAAATCTAAGCATATTCTTACCTGAGAGCCATGGTATGTGACTGTCTTGCTTTCTCTTGCCACTATTAGAATGTTCTCATTTTCCTCAAAGTTAGATAGCTTAACTAGTATGCTTGGGAGTTCTTCCTAGGGTTTAGTCTAAATTGTGTCCTCTCTGCTTTCCGCATGAGTGACTGATTCTCATTCATTAAGGTGGGGAAGTTTTCTTCCAGAAATTCCCTCGTTGTGTGTTGTTCTGGTAGGCCAATTATTCAGATGTTGTTCCTATTCATAGCATCTGTCATTGATCTCGGGTTTCTTCTGGCTCTTATTATCTTGCTTGTCTTTCTTATTTACTGAGGTCTGTCTGATTGTCTTTGAGATCATTGATACAGTTTTCAGCTTCTTCTAGTCTATTCGTGAGATCTGTGATCTTGTGTGCAGCTTCTGCTACTTCATCTGTTAGCTCTTGTATTTCCGTTTGGTGCATGGACTTCATCCCCTCTATTGTGGACTTCTTCCCCTCTACCATGAACATAATTTCCTGTATCGTTGTATCCTTAGTTTGTGTAGCTTCCCTTATTGCCTGTATTACTTCAAGTAGCCTTCTGAAAATTACTTTTTGTGGCTGATCCACATCAGATTCTTCTATGAGCATTGTTAGCTCTGCTGTTGTGGTTTGTCTTTCTTGTTTTCTTGTTGGGAGTGATTTGGTATGCTGTTGTTTATGGGATGATTTCGACGAGCTGGGTGTCATATTTCTGGGAGACCAAGAGGCCCTGTGTTCTTTCTCTGTGTGACTGAGACTGATTTTATCAAGGGCTTCCTGTGGCCTACTATGGAGGTGGGTCAGACTGCTGTGTAGACAGGGGCTGTAGCAACTCAGTAGTCAACAGAGATGAGAGGTTGTATGTACCGGTGGGGACAGCTGTAGGGATCTCATTTTGACTGCTGGGTAGCTCCAGTACAGTGACAGGGCTGTTGGGGGCCAATGGGTGGGTGGTGGCCCCATTGCGGTCTTAGGTGGTATGGCCGGTGTGAGCTGGGGAGCTCCCAGAACCGGGCCACTAGTTCCCTAGGTTCCAGAGCTAGGCTAGATTTGGGGGAAGGATAACGTTCCAGGGATGTACTCTCCACTGTTCCACTCACTGCACGGGCTGGGACAGGACAGGGTAGCAGTGATCCCTGAGCTGAGATAGACCCAGGCAGCGCCCATCCGAGGCCTTGGGGGCTGGGTGCTCACTTGGCGTGCCTGCAAGGACCCAGTCAATGACTCTTACTCCCACAGCTCTGGCCAAGGCGGCACAATACAGTGCTCTGGGCTGGGAGCTGCAGGGGCTTCCAGAGCTGCAATGCTGGGGAAATGGTGGGCAGGAATTGCGGGTGCCACTCCGTGTGGACAGAGAAGGCCAGGGGCTATGATGAGCTGAGGCACCCTGGAAGTGGTGGGGGCTGTTCACCATTTACATGGAAGATGCAACTTGTGGGGGTGGGGCGTGCGGGTGGAGGTGACCAAGGTACTGATGCTGGGTGTCCTCAGCTGAAAGCAATCAAACTTGCTGTGGGTTAGGCCCTGGGGCTCTGGGTGGCTTCCAGGAGGCACCAGAGATTGGGAGTAGGGTGCAGATTCCCTGGGTGGGAGCTACAAGTGGACAGTTGCTATGTGGTGGTAAGGCTCAGCCGTGGGGAGCTATCCATGATAGCTGTCCAGTTCCTAGGACAGCGACCAGGCCCAGAAGTGGAGGTGGGGGCACTGGCAGGTGGCGACTGAGGTGTACAAAAGTCGCACAGCCAGTGAGAAATCCCTGATATATAGACCCAGATCTCTAGGACTTGGACAAAAGCAGATGCAGGGTGGGGTCATCTTCCAGACAGAGAAGCCCCCTCGGGTCTTCATCGGAATTTTTCCACTCACCAGAATACTTCTACTTGACCTCCCAGACACCAGAGCTCCCCATATGGGCTGCTTACCTGGGTGCCATCTTAAAGCTCCTCCCAATATCCAACTTTATAATGCTTATGAGGCAATTAAAAGACCATGCCCTAGGCCAGGCTTATTTTACTCCTCAAAATAGCATCCTTACTTTTCAACACTTTAAAGAAATCTTGTGCAGCAAATTTACCCAATGCAATGCGTCATATGATCTCTTCACTGCTACTTCCATCAACATTAATTGTGCACCAAAGCAAGGTGAAATTCTAGACAATTTCAACTTTTTCTCCATTTTGTATGATGCTACCTATTGGTCCAGCTGTGAAGATTTTTGACTTTTTGACATTGAATTGTAATCCATACTGAAGCCTGCAATCCTTGATCTTCATTTTATATATACATATGTTTGTGTGGAATTGATTCCAACTCATAGTGAGCCTATATAGGGTTTCCAAGATGAAATCTTTATTGGAGCAGACAGCCGCACCTTTTCTCAATAAATGTCTGGTGGGTTTAAATTGCTGATTTTGTGGTTATACACCCCAACACCTAGTCCACAGTGTCAAAATTTTAACATTTATTGAATATATGGAGTTCTGATGGTGCAATGTTTAAGCACTTGACTTCTAACTGAAATATTGGCTGCTCAAATCCACCCAATGGCTCCTGTAAACATTACAGCCCAGAAAGCCCTATGGAGCAGTTCTACTCTATCAAATGGGGCCACTAGGAATAAAATTCAACTTAATGGCACATAATAACAGTTATAGGAGCCTTGTTAGTGTAGTGGTTATGCATTGAGCTGGATTTGAAAGGTCAGCAGTTCAAAACCACCAGCCTCTCTGCAAGAGAGAGTTGGAGCTGCTTCCTCCAATAAAGAGATACAGTCTCTGAAACTCACAGAGGCAGTTCTACTCTGTCCTATAGGGCTGCTATGAGACAACATCAACTCGATGGCAGTGAGTTTTAGTTTTCACACAAATTACATGATCTGTAGGTATATGTGTGTGTGTATATACGTTTGATGGAGTCTGATATACATACCTTATTTACTCTGTCGTGCCATCTCTTCTAACTCACACGACTCCATGTGTGTCAGAGTAGAACTGTGCTCCATAAGGTTTTCAGTAGCTGGAGTGGATCAATTTCTCCTGAGGTACCTCAAACTACCAACTTCTAATTAAAAGAACACTTACACTTTCTTTGTGCCACCTGGGAAACCATGTAACACATACACAGATATATTTTGTATATCATACATAAAATTTATACTAAATAAGTTTTATAGGTAGATAATAGAACTAAATTATTCTTCAGTAATGACCTTCCAGTCTTAGTGTCTTAAAATAGTGTACGTTTTTTATATTAAATTTCTGCAATGAGTCTGGTGTGGGCTCTTCTCAGCTTTGGTCATGATCTTAGCTTCAAAGGCAAGGCTCATCAAGCAGCCAGTCTGAGATATTTTTGGTCCTGATGGCAGAGGGGAAGAAACAACTCCCCTGGGCCTGACAGTATGCAGAGTGGCACACACCACTTCTTTGCTAGAACTAGTCACGTGGATCTGACCACAAGGCATCTAGATTATATCATCCTTCCATTTGTCCAGAAGGAAGAATAATGTATTTCTTGAATATCACTAATAATGACCATGTTATATTTTTAAACTAGTTATAAAACTTTTAATGTCGAAAATCTTCCAAATGCATTTCACCTCGGTAGATCTCTTTCCCTCTCACACACATTTGAAGGAGACTGTACTGTTTTTTATTAATTTTCAGGTAAATTATGAAAAGCTACTTTGGTTTTTAAAAGTTGCAGCTTCAAGTGAGCCAGAGCCAAGCAGAACAGTTGTGGACAATAAGCTGAGGAAAACCCAGAGTCCGACCAACCAGAATCAAAGGTATTTATCTCCAATTTGAGAGGTATGTGGACTTAGAAAGTTGGCAGGGATCTTAGATGCCATTTGCTGTAAAGCCTTGATCAATATAAACTCATTTTTCTGCTAACCAGGACTTGGTTTATGCTTTTAGTTTTCTCTCTCTTGTATGCAGGCCTGCAGAAAAGCAATGAGCTGTGATTGAATGTTTCTTAATACCGAACATGTGTGTATGTGTGTTTTAAATGATATTTTGTGCTTTCAGGGAAGGTTTACACATAAGCTTAGGTTTCCAATCAGCAAGTTTTACACAAATCATTCAGAGGCATTGGTAATGTGCTCCACAATGTGTGACCATTCTCATTATTTCTGTGTGAGTTGTCAACTGAGCCTGTGTGTTCTTTCAGGGTGTGGTATGAAAACAGAAAACTCTAGTTCATCATAACAAATGATGATGAGATGCTGCCAATCCCTTCTATAAGGTGTGTTTCCAGAAATGCACTCTAGGTCAGTTAGTGCCAGGGTTCCCGGAATGAACATGGCAAGCTTGCGGTCCAGGAAACAATGATCCCTTCACAAGTGTAACTAGGATGTGATGGATATCATTAGAGATAAGGCAAAATAAAACATGATATTGTTTGCTCATAGAAGGGACAAAGCACAGTGGTTAGGATGCAGACAGCCTTCTTCACCAGACGCCTGGGCTAAACTTCTCTCTATACTACTCAGTGGCTGTGTGACGTTGGTCACTAACCTCTCTGTCCTCCGCTTTCCCATTGTAAAATGAGCTTAACAAGACTCCCTTTGGGGATTTACTATGAACAGTAAATTTCTTAATAATTGCAAAGATCTTAAAAGTGGTGTTTGGGACATAATAAGTGCTATGTAAGTGTGTTCTTATTTTAAAACTTTCATTTCAGAAGAATCAATTCCAATGATTGTTTTCCTTGTTAGTTGCCAACAAATTGGTTCCAACTCATAGTGACCCTATGTCAATTAGAATAAAACGTTGCCAACTCCAACACCATTCTTACAGATCCTCGCTAAAGTGTAGCCCTTTGTTGCAGCCACTGTGTCAATCCATTGCACTGAGGGTATTTCCAGGCACATTCTGGCGGTACTTCTCCAAGACAGATATGCTCATAATTCTGGAAGTCCGTGATGTACTTAATATCTGTCACCAATTCATCTCTGGCATACTTCAAAGGCACCAATGCTCTTTTGTCTTCCTTTTTTGTATGTGTGCAGCATTCACATGCACATGACGCAGCAGAAAATATGATTAGACAGGTGCACCTTAGTCTTCAAAGTAACACCTTGGCTTTTTAAAACTCTAAGGAGGTTTTTAAATATATATATATATGTATAGTGGATTTGTCAAATGTAATTTGTGTTTTACTTCTTGGCTTCTACTCCTTTGAATTTTTATTATGGAACCATGTAAAACTAACTCCTTTACAACTTTAACATTTTCTCCATTTAGCATGAACTTGCATTTTGGCCCAATTGTAAAGATTTACTATTTTTCTTATGTTGCAGTGTAATCCATACCGAAGGCTCTAGTGTTGGGTCTTCATCAGAGAATGCTTCAAGTGCTCTGTGCTTTCAGCCAGCAAGGTCATGTCGTCTGCATATTGCAGATAGTTAATGAGTCTTCTTCCAATGCTGGTGCCTTATTCTTCTTCATATAATCCAGCTTCTTGGGTTATTTATTCAGCACACAGGTTGATGAAGTACAATTAAAGGATATAACCTTGACCCACACTTTTTAAAATTTTAAAACATTCTTTTTTTTTATATTCTAATTGAATGTCTGTTTCTTGGTCTATATGCAAGTTCCACATGAGCAAAATTACATGCTCTGGAATTCTTATTCTTCTCAATGCTAACCATATTTTTTATAATCTACATAGTCAAATCTTTACACAGAGTAAGCATCTTTCTGGTATTCTCTGCTTTCTGGTAAGATTTCCAGGTTTTCTGCATTTGGCTTGAATTTCTGTCAATTTCCTTTTGAAGTACTGTTACAATTATTTTTTGAATTATCTATAGCAAAAATTTTAGTTGTGACAGTAAGGGTATTGCTTGAAAATTCTCTCATTTTTTATCCCCTTTCTTTGAAAAGATCATAAATATGAATCAGTTCCCATTAGTCAGGTAACAGTCTTCCAAATATCTTGACATTTATGAGTGGGGGCTTCACAGGCTGCATCTGTTTGTTAAAACATCTCAATTGGTATTTCATTAATTTATGGAACTTTATTTTGCGCTAATGCTTTCAGTACAGGTTGGACTTCTTCCTTCAATACCGCCTGTTCTTTATCATAGGCTACCTACTGAAATGGTTGAATTTCAGTCAATTATTTCTGGTACAATGAATCGTTGTATTCTTTCCATGTTAGACAGGGTTCTCTAGAGAAACAAAACCAGAATGCTAATAATTTCATATATATTCATATAGATAGATATATAACATAAGAAATAAACAGTTAATTAATCTATAAAGCAGTAAAAATGGCTAAGTGCAACTCACTCCTGTGAGACAGCTGTGAGACACTGGCATTCCTTCAAGTCTTGAGGCCGCCGAGTAGTCCTCTGTAGAGTAATTCGGGCTATCCGGGCACAGGCAGCAAACAGCAAGGCAGGTCACCAAAAGTCAGCCAGATGACAGGGTCCGACAGTCCCCAGCTCAAGAGATGTAAGTTCCAATAGTGTCGAGAAGCAGGTCTTGAAAGAACCTCAAGTTACAGCGACACAGTCTCACAGGTAGTGTAGCTTGCAAATTGAGGCACAGAACAAGCAAGGGACTTGCACACTTGTCCAATGATGAAAGAGCAAAAGACAAGAGAGGCGAGGCTCGCTGAGCCATTTATCTCTCCACCCTTCAATTAATCCCACATGTGTTCATTGGCCAGGTTGGCACAATAAACCTACCTATCACACTTACCATCTTTTTTGTGCTTCCTGTGTTGTTCAATATTTTGCCCATAGAATAATATTTCAGCTTGAGTCTTGAAATTTTCTTCAGCTGAGATGTGTCAAAATATTCTTCTTTTCGGTTTTCTAAGTCCAGGTATTTACATATTTCTTTATAACACTTTGTTTTATTTCCTCAACAGCATGCCCTTTGAAATCTTCTGTTCAACTCTGTTCCTTCAGAATTTCTTCCATTTTGTTTCTTCCCTGTCTTTATAATGATATTTTGCTTTCTTCATATATGATGTTCTTGATGTCATCCCATAACTCCTCTGTTCTTCAGTCATTAGTCTTCCGTGAGTGAAGGTTATTTTGGGGAGGATTTCTAAGTTCAATTAAGAGATGTTCAAGCTTGTGCCTTGGCTTTCGTGGACTTGGTTTCAACATGAACGTGCATATGAACTACTGGTGGTCGGTTCTGCAACCATTTCGTGTTCTGGCTGATGCCAGTGAGCTTCTCCATTGTGTCTTTCCACAGATGTATTCAAGTTGATCTATTTATATAGTGAGTTCCACATGTATAGCTACCATTTGTACTGTTAAAAAAGATATTTGGCATGAATAAATCATTGGTCTTGCAAAAATTGGTCATGAAATTTCTCATGTCTTTTCTATCAAGACCATATTTTTCAACTGCTGATCCTCCTTGTTGTTTCCAACTTTTGTATTCCACTCCCCAGTAATTAGAAATGCTTCTCAATCAAATGTTTGATCAATTTAAGACTGCAAACGTTGGTAAACTTTTCTTCATCTTTGGCATTAGTGGTTTGTGTATAAATTTGAATATCAGTCATAGCACATGTTCTTCCTTGTAGGCAGATGGACATGATCCTGTCACTGATAGCATTACACTTCCAGATAAATCTTGAACTGATCTTTTCTGATGATGATGCAACGCTATTCATCTTCAAGTTCTCATTCTCAGTGCAGTGCACCACGTGATTTCAATAGGCCAGAAGAATGTCTTCCCAATTATAAATAGTGACGTCACATGGCATTGGAGTTAAATACCTGCTCTTAGGAAATAGATAGAATTTTCTATTAAAATGTCCCTGAACCAAGAGTTGGACTTGATTCCTTTCTAGAGTGTACTCTATTCCCTTTTTATTGTGATATTTTACTCATGAAACAGTAAATACCTGTTGCTTACCTAGGCACACTTTGCTAGACATAGTGAATCTAGAGATTGGCAAGTCCCAGAACCCCCCTTCATCTCATAGTCCACAGAAAATGATACTGCCAGGGGGGTATGCTGGTTAAATATCATTGTGGAAGCAACTGTCTTGGAAGTCATTAACTCTAGAATGTTTTAATAGCCAGCACCAGCTTTCATATACTACAGTCCAAGACATTGTGGACCTGAGAGTTGGTGGTATATACACTAGAACACATGGTCACTCTTTGGCAGATATTGGTCTTATGAGTCCAAGACACTAGGCCTTTCCTGTGCCCTCCCCTAGCTTAAGTATCTTTGGAATTTAAACTCATTTTTTTCCTTTCAGATAGTCATTGAACTTGTAATTATTTACTTGACATTTGAGATTAAGAAGGGCATCTTTCCTGGACAACTCTGTAACACAGTTCTAGCATAGTTCCTGGCCCATGGCAGATGCATGAACATATGTCTTCATGTAATCCATACCTCAGTGATATAGTAGAGCTTGTGTAACTTCACGTATGTCTAGATATCTGTTCTTTAACAACAACCACAACAACATCAAAACAAGGTACATACTGAGACAATTTTGAGCTCATCAGAGATATTATTGCTTTATTTGAACCAGATATGAATTTGTAGAAGTGCAGCATTGATAGTCTGTCAGGAATCCAGACGTTCTGTTACTTAATATGCTACTCAGGAAAAATGCCCTCCTTCTGCTTTTTCAGGTAGAGCCTTTAATGGGACAGCTCTGTGATGTATTTAAAAAGGTTCCAGCATCGCCACTGGCAGTAGGGGTGGCAACAGGCCTCATCATCTAAGTTGGACCAGATGGAATAAACTCTTGCAGCAGGCCTTCTAAAAGACCCCACCAGCTGCAGTAAATAGG